TAGCAGGTATCCCAGAAGAGTTACTGTTATTGGTAGTGGTAACTGGGGTTCGACCGTCTCACGTCTGGTTGCTATCAGAGCAACTCGTGATGGTAACAAGTATTATGATGAGGAAGTGAGGATGTGGGTATTTGACGAAGAAGTTGATTACAAGGGCGAGAAGCGAAGTTTGGTCGATGTTATTAATACACATCATGAAAATGTGAAGTACCTGCCTGGTATCACACTCCCCGATAATGTTGTGGCCAAAGCTGACCTCAAAGAGGCTGTTGTCGGTGCTGATATTCTCATATTCGTCCTTCCTCATCAATTTCTGCCAAAAGTTCTCTCACAGATCAGAGATTCAGGACTATTCAGGACTGTATGAGGACTATCCCATCCATAGATACATATGTGATGGGGCCGCTATGCCCGAGGACTATCCCATCCATAGATACATATGTGATGGGGCCGCTATGCCCGAGGACTATCTCATTCAAGGATACATATGTGATGGGGCCGCTATGCCCGAGGACTATCTCATTCAAGGATACATATGTGATGGGGCCGCTATGCCCGAGGACAATCTCACTCAAGGATACATATGTGGTGGGGCCGCTATGCCCGAGGACTATTTCATTCAGAGATACAAATGGAATGGGGCCGTCATGCCCGAGGACAATCTCATTCAAGGATACATATGTGATGGGGCCGCCATGCCCGAGGACAATCTCATTCAAGGATACATATGTGGTGTGGCCGCTATGCCCGAGGACTATCCCATTCATAGATACATATGGAATGGGGCCGCCATGCCCGAGGACAATCTCACTCAAGGATACATATGTGATGGGGCCGCTATGCCCGAGGACAATCTCATTCAAGGATACATATGTGATGGGGCCGCTATGCCCGAGGACTATCTCATTCGAGGATACATATGGAATAGAGCCGCTATGCCCGAGGACTATCCCATTCAAGGATACATTATGAAGAGACCACTACGAGATCACGGACTGTCCAGACAAAGGGTAACGGGGAGGCAGACAGAACGCAACCCTAATGGGTTCTCATCGACAGCACGAAGTTACGAACTCGCGAAAGCCACACCTGAGTGGGTCTGGACTCCAGACCCACTCAGGTTTTGACGGTTCAATGGAAGCAACAGAATTGCTAGCATCGGCCAATGCATTCAGACAAGGCAACAGAAAAACTCTGAGTAGATTTTTTGGCAGTGCATTCCGTCATCAGTGATACCTCCCATGAGACTATCGTGTCCTAGTAGTTTTACGTATTGTGGTGGTAGTGGGTATGGATCTCCTTAAACGAAGAAGGGATCTTCTGAGGTAGTGGAAGTCTCACACCACCTGATAACTGTGCATGAGATGGAGGGGATGGTCAGTATGAAGAGCAACTCAACCTACTGGGAAGGATTGCATCTCTTACGAGTAGCTGTAGTCTAATGGATAATGATCATGAGTTCTGTGCCGATGGTGTACAGTTCGATTGACTGTAGAAATATCTTTTATTATCGTAAGTGATGTGGGAAGTTGAATAGTGATGAATAACGAGTTTGCCAACATGGACCGCGGAGTGAACCCCCACGGCACTGCCATAAGTGACAAAGAACACAACCGTAGTATTTCAATAACCATCGCTGCATCCTACAGGCGCGTGAATGACGCCCTTATTTGGGGAGACTAAGAAATGAGTCAAAAAAAGTTGAAAGCTACATCTACTGCTAGAAGCAAAAACATGGGAGATCATGAGGTCTGGCACCACCAACGCACTTGCCGAAGTGCTCGCTGTCAGGCAACCTCTCGCAGACACCACCGCGTGTAATCAAGTCACAGAACAAATCACCGCCGTGACAAGTCCTATGAGGAGGTGTCGGTGATTGAGTAGTGGTAGTTGTGGTGGGGGGTGGCTTAGGACACTCGCAGAGAATGCGCCTTGTGTCCTTGGGATCGAGAGTCTGGCAAACACGCCCAGCTGGATCTTGCTGGTAATCCTTACAGTAAGAGGCATCACCAACTTGCTTCTGGCACAGTGGATCACCACAAAGCTTGTTAGCGGCAACAGTTGAATGCGTAATGGCCATAACCATAGAAAGGAGAGCGACAGCGGAAGTGAAGAGTTGCATTAAAAATGTTGAGGTGACAGCTAAATTGGATGATCATTTTGCAGAAATGCTTCCAGCCTACTCCAATCATTGACGAGCGATGCAAATAGTATGCTTACACACAGGAGACAGCATATACCGGAGGAATCCGGTTTATCGACAAACACTGCACGCACGCGCTCAGCACAGGACGCGTGTGGCTTCATCTTGCTGTGCGGCGAAAAAAGGCTCAAAATCCATAGGGATTCCAGGTGGGCCACCTGAGGTGGCGCATGACGGCTCTTGACTTTAATCCACTACTGCATTTTCGCCTTGTCTGAGCCCTGCATTGCAGATTACTGCTGATTCTCGCGCAGAACATAAAGCATCGGTCGACCTTCCGCATTGTGCGGAATGCCAAGTACGGTACGTTAGACTGTGCGGTAGCTCCTCCACACATCGCAGTCAGTTGCATACCCTGAACTTTGGGGATGCCAATTACGCGATTGCGTAAT